CCCAAGAGCACCGCTTCCACCAGTGCCCTTGAAAGTGCCCGACAAGGTCAAGGGAACTTCTCTTTTGGAGAAATTTCCAGCTCCTCCATCCCCGTCGCCTTCTGCTAATGCGAAGGAGAGCCAACCCGTTACTCCAAGCTCCGTCTATGGAACTCCTGATCGCCGCGGCCAGTCAGTTTCAAATCACGGCTTGCAAACCCCAGATTCGACGCCAAGAGGCCGCAAAACTACACGAAATGGCTCGCCTGGAGACAGAGGGCTGGCGCACCAGTTCTCCATCCGCATCACGTCACCAAAGAAACTTGTTCCACGGTCTGCAGCTCCTGGCGCCAACGACGAGTGGGAAGACTTTGAAGAGACCACGAGGCGAGTGACGCAGGACCGAATTTCTCATGATTATCACAAAGCTTTGGCGGAGCAATATCGTGAACTGGCAGCTCCTACACCCGATGTGTTTGAGGATGATGATGAGACCCCGCCATTGGTCCGTCACCCCGTCTCTCCTGACGACTCCAACATGGCACCGCAACCTCTGAGACTGCAAAAGGGTCCGGTGGAGAGTCCGCGCGATATCGAAACGATCAGCTTGGCAAGAGCTTTGAACGAATTCGACGGAGTGGACCAGGAACCGCAGCCGAAAACGCGGTCCCCGTCTCCACCACGACGCAGAGCGAGCGTGCAAGAGAAGACTCCAGCTCTGGCCACCGGAACCCTCCAGATGATACTGCCATCCCAACATAACCGAAAGCCAAGTGAGACTAGCGCCACTAGTGGTGATATTCCCATCTCTGCGCCGGCTGAAACCACCACCTTTAGCGTCAACGAGACGGCACCGGTGAAGAGTGGACGATCAAATCCAGCCAGATATAACAGACAGCGCCCTCGCAGTCGCGTGTATCCTGCTACCAAGAGATATTCGGGCATGTACGGTTCTCGGCCTCGCTCTATAATTCAGCCTGCAGAAACCAAGAAGTCCAAGAAGAGCAAGAAGAAAAAAAAGGACAAGGCAATTGACAAGTCCACGCCCTACACGGCTCCGCTTCCTCTAACCCTGCCTACTACACTATCCACCGAATCCTCTCCTCGACCCTCTGCTGAAAATCGCCGGCGTCTCCCTCCGATATCACCAATTCCTGGGACGCCCAGGTCCACTACCGGTCGTCCATCAACTCCATCAACGCCATCTGCGTTTGCCACGGTCAAAGGCACGACTCTCGCGCAAAGACGCCTTCGGCCACAGGGTCCAAATGCACTCCAAAGATCAGGACTCAACCCACAGCAGCCGCTGGCGCGGCCGCCGGCACCTCTGCACCTAAAATCGCACTTTTCACAATTTTCCTCCTCATCGGCCGCCTCGCCTCCAATGTTTCTCTCTCCCGCCCCCACAACCGCTTCTTTGGCATCCAAAAGCCCGCGTCTTCCTCTGTCGGCAGGCAAGACGCCTCACGCACCCTCACCGCTCCAGCATGGCCTTACCCACACCCAGCTCTTTACCCCTGGGATCGCTCTCACAACGTCAGAGCCAAGTCCAAACCCCTCGCCGCCTCTGTCGGCACCGGCGAATGTCGCACGCACCCCGAGCCCATCAGTTGGCTACCCGCGGCCGATGACGCGTGCTGAACCGTCCAAATCGGCGACATTGGTGCCCACATCTTCGTCGATGAAGCCGCGCCGAAAAACAAAATCAAAAACTGCGGCAGCAGCACTGTCTCTGCGTCCACATCACAGCCCCGGGCCGCCACCCCCTCCGCCCCTTCCTCCGCATGACTACAGCCCGCAACCGCGCATGCTCTCCCCGAGCTCCTCAACTCTGCCCGACTTCTCGCCGCGCTCTGCGCCGCTACCGCCCTTGCCTTCGGCGTCGTCTTCCTCCTCTGCCACGACGACGTCGACATCGTTGCCCGTGACGCCTGTTTCTGTGTTGGCAGACGACGCGCCTCGGCGCTCGCTCGTCACTCCTGGCCTTTCGCTTATGCGCAAGGCTGTTGAGATGCAGCGGGAGCGGAAAAGAGGCAAGGCACGTGAAGAGTTGAAGCGTAGAATCAAGGTTGTTGGCGTCGATGATGGTGCCAGTGCCGAATCAATCAGTGCTGGCGGGGCTGAAAGGAGCGCGGCGGGTCTGGGTAAGGGAAGGGTAGAAGTTTTGCAGGGAGAGGAGGGAAGATTGAGGGATTGGTTATAGGACTTGCAAGTACGTCTCAATGCAGAGTTGCAGCAAGCAAAGGTCAGATGAGAAATATCTTGTTTCGGGGAAGTGAGTTCAGGGGACGGACTCTTTGCTTGTTTTAGAGGAAGAGACAAGGTCTGTTATGGGGAGCCACAACCCCTTACCTACATCCTCCTGGAGCTTCTACTTGTCACAACTTTCACGTTACGTCTGCATGTAAAAGGCACAAGAAGAAATGCACTTGTATTGATTGGCCTTGAGAAAAGAACGCTGACCCTATCCCTGTATCATGAAAACCGCTCCTGTCAACCCCTCTGTTCATCATTCATTCCGCGATGACCTCCACCGTGCGCATCTCTGCATGCTCGAGTAGCGTGAATATGCCCGAAAAGCTCATCGAACCTGGCACGAGTCTCGTCCTGCTTTCGCTTGAGGGCATCGAATTCCGCGCGAGAGATCAGGCCATTGTCCTTGTTACCTTCTTTATCGGGCATCGGGATATCGGCCAACAAGTCGGGGAATTCCTCGGAATCTTGTCGTTCGTCCCGCTCTGTCTCCATCATGACGGAATCTGCCTCGGCGTCGTGCTCCGAAACTTTGCGAGCTTTGGTGATGCGGGGATCGTCCGAAGGAGCTTCGCCATCTGAACCTGCGATGAGATTGTCAGCAAGCTCTTGAGCTAAAGTGAGAGGAGATACCAACGTCGCTTGCGAGACTTTTGTCGCTGCTTTTCATCCGGTTGCCCTCGGCGATTCTGATGTACACATGGCTCCCGAGAAGCTTCACCCCGCTGTTGCTGTGTGCTCTTCTCTTCGGGCTCCATCTCGTGGGCTTGCTCTACGTCGTCGGATTCATACTGCGAGGGGTGTGACTGTGAGTACATGGATAAGTTTTAGAGGAAGTACTTTTCTAACCATTGTGGTAGCGGACATAAATGCTCCGAGTTGAATGACAATAGAGAGAAGGCGTCCAGTGATGTCGTTTGGCTTGGATGGCGGGGATGGATCAGGAATGTCATTAATTGGGATTTGCCTGGAAGGTGACTCTGAAGAGAGCAGGAGGGGGCCTTCCTGCTCTGAAAACTGCTTCGTTGTTGGAACATGGAACTGACGCCCCGTGCCCCGACTACTCCATCGCGCTGAGTCGACACAGCTGCCCCATCTCGCCTATCCCTCCAGTCTACAGTCATTCATTCATTCATTCATTCATTTCACAATGAAACGGTTTTCACGGCCATCACCACTCGAGCGGCGAAAAATAAGGAACTACAAAATGAGGCTTCGACGGGCGAAAAAGAAATATCCAGACGAGCCGGAGAAATGGTATGGTCAGCTCTTGTTTTCATGAGAAACTGTGGCTGACTGATTGTGTCAAGGCCCAAGCCATACATATACAAAATTTTGATGGGAAAGAGACTATTCGAGCCAGATTTGAAGTCAGTGCCAAGTTCCCCCACCATCTTCTGGACCTCTATCTTCCTATCAATCTACCAGAATTTATCAACGTTTCTTTGCTTACGGACGCACAGAGAAACCGCCAATGCTGTAGCTGCTGCTGCTGTTGCCGCTGCTGCTGCCAGTGTTACAGAATCCAGATCCCTTCCTGGCAGAAGAAGAAATGCAATTTCGCTCCCTACTTTGCATAGCGTTCAGGGCATCACCAGAATCCAGAGCACCGAGGACTTAGACGATGACGCGGAAACTCTCATTGGGGACGAGGAGTACGATGAGGAATGGGAAGATTCCGAGGACGACTTCAAAAACAACAAGGATAAAGATGAGGACATGGACAAGGATGACAACGACGAGGGAGCTCCTACGGGGTAAGTGAGTCGACTAATGACGCCCCTCCTGGGGGTATGCTGACTGTTGGCAGCCGAAACGGATAGGTGCTGGACTTGACGATCAAACGTCGAGCTTGATCGTGGCATTGGACTTTCATTGGACTTTGGAATGGTTGGGATTTGGTGTTTCTCGGCCTCTTGGATTGACTTTGGTGTCATACAACTCGGTATTCCATCGCTATCATTGAAATAATTCCAGCTCTCCTGATTGCTCTCTGAGTGTCTCTTCCACAAGCCGAACATCCACACGCTGCGACAACAGGGCCAACGCATGTTTGATGGAGGAAATGAGACCTGTGCGCCACGCGTCGGGTGGTCGGCGACAAGTGACGTCAAAGGTGACTGGTTGCGTACAGGTACCTAGTATGTAGTTGTTTTAACGCTTCGCGCGTCTGCTTTTGTCCAGCACAAGACACACAATTGACTGGTTTCTTCAATGTTTCCTGTCGTCTCGAAAGCATAAGCGAGGTCTGCTCACGAAGTTCAACCTCAACCTGCCTGCCGACCCGCTCCTTCCTCCAGCACCCACCAAAACGACAATGAAACCCCCCCCCCCCCCCCCGAACCACCAAACTTACCAACACGCTGCTGCAATGACCACGCCTCCGCGCGTTTTCTGTCGTCTCAACTGTAAGCGAAGTCTGCTCACGAACTAGAACCTGCCGCTTGCCCGCTCCTCCCCTCACCGTCCACCAAAACGACATAGTGAAAAAGAAAATATCAAATCGCTAAATCACCAAAACACCAAACACTTCAACCCCGACACCGACACGCTTAGATAGGAAGCCTACGCACGTTGTCCGAGGTTTGAAGAGCATACGCGAGATCTTACAACGCGCCCGCCAGCCCGCTCCTTCCGCCACCACCCACCAAAATGACATGGTGAAAAAAAAAAAAAAAAAAACCTCGAACTACCAAAACACCAGCGACACACCTCACCCCAACACCCTCGACAGCCCTCAAAACACCAAAAAAGTCTCCGGATCGACGCGACACCTGTGAGATTCGAACTCACGCTCCCGAAGGAACTGGCTCATCAGCTTCCAGCTGTTAATCACCGATGCTCGGCGAGCGCTGTATAGCAGGCCAGCGCGTTAACCACTCCGCCAAAGTGCCATTGAGGACACCGCCTTCGCTGGGGAAGGGGAGTGCTGCCAGTTGTTTAGGTCGGAATGACTGCATCAGTATATATTTACTCACAAAAAGGTGGGAGATTCGAACTCCAACCTTAGCGAGCCCTCCTGGCTCCCGAACAGTGCGCAAAAAAAAAAAAAAAAAAGACTATGGCACAGTGAAAATTGACATGAGTTTCACTACGTAGCGATGGCGCTGTCAGCGTCCTTAGAGAGTCCAAATCGCCCTTGTTTCCGCGCTGTCGTGCAGCGGTGATGTGATGGCGAGGCGAGGGGCGCAGGCGGTCGGGCCACCACCACCACCACCATTGGCAGCGAGAGCGGTGCGGGTGTGGCGCCCCGCTGACGCGGCACGGACGCACAGCACAGCAAGGATGGCCTGCCTGTCGACTGGTGCAACACCGCCCCCGTCCGACTGTCTGTCGTTCAAACTCATCATCACTCTCCCTGCGTTTTCTGACTACGCGCCGCAGGCGGATGATGAGCTGGAGGGTTTTTGTTTTTTTTTTTTTTTTTTTCCTTCTTGAACGACTGCTGGCACTGCGAGGTGGCGCAGCGGTGAGTAAGTGAAATGGGATGCTGGCTGGCTAGACCTCGGAGCCAGAGTGAGTTGGTTTCCATTTGGGAATTTTTTTTTTCTTTTCTTTTTCTTTTCCCCCGCTTTACTTTGGACGGTGACGTTGGTGGTCTTGACTTTTCTGCGGAATTATCTCCGCGTCCTCTAGAGGTATTCGAAGTAATGATTTTTCGAATCTATGAACTATACTGGGATAGTTGACGCTGCTTTTTTTTTTTTTAGTGCAATGCTCTCATGTCAAAACTCGCCGCGTGCTGGCCTGAGTCAGTGTTTGAGGAGGGGGGAATAAAAATTAATAAAAGGTTGAATTCGAGGAGAATTAGAAATACAACTAGCTCCGTCGCCGACAACATTACTTTCTTCAAGACTAACACCGGGTCGGGCCTTTGAAGGTTTTTGGTTGTCGATGTTGTATGTTGGGAGGAGAGGTAAGAAGGACCAGCTGCCTACATTGGCAATGTTCCATTATCTTTTCAAAAAACCAACACCAAACAACAAACCTTTGCGCAACTCATGGTCATATTGCGGATGTACGTGGCGAGCTCGACGATAACGAGACATGGGCAAATGATAGCATGGCACGGAGGAAGATGGGACGAGAACCAAAACAAGTGTTCAATGCAGCCAATCCTTCTATAAACCCTCTCGTCACGCATCAATGGGTCAGCCAAGTCCTGACCCTGTCGTCCATCCACCTGTGCATGACTGACGGCAGGCTCGGTCGTTCTATGTAGCTGCTGTCTTTTTTTTTTTTCCATTGCACTACGCTCTTTGCTGTCCCGACCTCTTGTTTCTCCATCCATCCACTCATGGCAGCCAACCATGATGCATCAATCCACATAAGTAGCCTGGCTGACCCATGCTTCCGAACCGGTGATAATGCAAGACATGCCAAACGATTAAGAAGGGCGATCCCGTCCCTCGCTCGTCGCTGTGAGAGCAGACGGAGACGAGGGAGGGCAGCGAAAGAATGAAAGAGGGAAAGAGAAAAAGGAGCAAATAAAATGCAACTGTACAGGACGAACAACAACGCAGAGTGAGAGAAAAAGTCATCTCTATCCAAACACCGCCGACCATGCACGCAACTAGCTCGATTTATAACACTCAGCAACTACCTTAACCCCTTGCGGCCCTCGTCGCTTGACCCACTACCGCTTCCACTGCCACTGCGGCCCATCATGCCGGTCTTTTCATCATACTCATCATCATCATCATCGCGATCCCGGTAGCCATCGTCGCTCTCGCTGAACAGGTCCTCGTCGCTCTCGCCAGCAAACGCATCGTACAGCTCGCCCGCGCGGCGCTTGCCTTTTCGGCCCGCGCCGGCACCGTTGGCCCCGTCGCCGTCCATGCCGTCCTCGTCGCCCACGAGCTCGAATTCGTACTCGGAGCGCGGGTTGTTCCGCAGGCGCTTGCGACGCGCCCACCAAAAGTAGCCAGCCAGCGAAGCGCAAAAGAGGGCAATGAGCGCAAGAGAACCGTAGATCCAGATTTGCGTACGCTTGGAGACGCCAAAGGTGGGGAACGGCGACGGGAGGAATGCGTCCGAAGTGGACTCTTCTGGACTCTCGAAGCCAGCTGTAGCAGTTGGGAGCGAGGGCGTGACCGTGGCGGCGGTGCCCGTGGGCTTTGGCTTGGTTGGGCGGTCGGGCGAGTCGATTGGGGGAACCAAGGCAGAGGCCGTGGCCGTGGGGACGGGCAGGATGGTGGTCTGCGGGGGCGTGACGATAACATCGTGGTCGTCGTCTTCGTGCTCGTCGGGCATGGGGATGAGGCCCTGGCTTTTGGCGTCAATGCATTCGCCGTACAAGCGAAGTCTCCAGTCGGTAAAGGTGCCTTTGTGCTCGTTGACGTTGGTGTCCTTGACAATGACGGTCCAGTTTCCAATGCCAGGCTCGCCCCAATGCGCAACAGACATGAAAGTCCAGTCCACGTAGCCTTCATTGTAGTCGTCGTGGCGCCGCGCCGTTGAGAGGTGGCTGACGACGCCGCTGGGGCTGCGGAGCTCGACGCTAAGGTCGCCACGGCGCGTGTGCTCGACATTCATGGTGACCGTGACATGCTCAATGGTCTCGAGATTGACCCTTTTGAGTATATCTTTGCTGACTTCAAAGGTGCTAGCCAGACCCGCTTGGCCTTGGGGAATCTCGTGCTTGACGTGCATCCAGGGCGAAAAGTACCACGCCTGGGGCTTACGAAGCTCCCAGTTCTTGGCGGTCTGGACCATAGAGTAGCCATCCATCTTGCCATAGCCAAACTGGTGACTGTATTTGCCATAGGGCGTGTCCTGCCATTCGCCCACGAGTCCCTCGGTCACAGCAGTCTCAATGGTGAGCCACTGAATGTCGCGCCAGGTCAGGTCAGGCCGAACTGAGAGTACGAGAGCGTAGATGGCGGCACCGAGTGGGCCAGCGGCAGAAGTGCCTCCGTGGGTGCTGCTGCACTTGTCCGTGCCTACGTCGGTCGTGTGGATCCCATCAGTCGGGCCGCTGCTGTACGTCACGACCAACTGAGCCGAGCACTGCTCCGAGTAATAGGGGTGCTGGTTGTGCTTGGTTATGGCCCCAACCGTAACGCTGTAGATGCTATTTGTGTACCCGTCAAAGTTGCAGTTGTCGTCGTTGGCAGCGCCGTTGCCTGCCGCGAAGACATAAATGGAACCTTTGCCGTTGCGGCCGTTTTGGACCCCATTGACAATGGCCTTTTTGATCAGGATTCCGGGCGCATCCATGGAGGCACCATCGTCCGGCGGACCCCAAGAGCATGAGTAAATGTGGTTCTCGTTCATGGCGTAGTTCATGGCAAGCGCCTCGTCGGCGTCTGTGATGCCTCCAGACAAAATGCGCACACCAGCGACCTTGGCATCGTAGGCCACGCCGACACCGCAAACATTATTCCTGACGGCGGCAACCTCGCCGGCACACCTTGTTCCGTGTCTATCGTCAGAAAGTCGGGGCTTGGGGTCTTTGACGTGGTCGTTGAAATCATAAGATCCGGCTTGAAAGTAATTTTCCTTGAGGTCCTCGCTGTCCATGTCCAATCCATCGTCTACAATGCATACAGTCGAGTTTGCGCCAGTGATGCCTTCGAGCCACAGGCCAGTGACGTTCAAGTCATTGCCGAGCTGTTTGCCATTGAACAGATGCCACTGGTCCTTGAAAATGGGATCTTGGATTTGGAGAGACTCGACGAGGTTAGAGCGAAATTGTCCAGCAGCCTCGATGGTTGACGGCAGGGCGACAGCTCCGGACCACGAGTCAGAAATATCGACGCTCACAGGATCCGGGATCGGACCTCTCTTGACGAGACGTTTTCTCGCTAATTGCTTTTGGTGAAATCTGACATGGTCCAGAGGACTTGGTTCGAAGGGGAGGTCCCTCTTCCGTCTACGCCTCTTGAGCTCGGTGACAGCGTCGCCAACAATGTCATGGTTGTGCTTTGCGGTGCGAAACAGGTGGTGGCCGTCAATGTCGCCGAGGGGACCGTCGTACTCTAGGCCGAGATGTTGCGCGAGTTGTGCCGGTGAGGAGTCGGGGTGTAGTTCGAGGGCGTAAAAGTCGTGGGTAGTGTAGTCGCGCGGGGGAAGATCTTGGGCGCAGAGTGCCGAGGCCGCCGCCAGCAGCGTGCAAAGGATGGAGCGCCGCATAGCGACGCGCAAAGAGACTGTGGTCGAGAAGGGTGAGAGAGGGAGCGCAAGTCGGCGGAGGAGCGCTTCTGGAGAAAGGGTGGGGACGAATTAGCGGCCGTTGTCGAGCTAGTGTCGTAGGCGGGCCAAGCGCGTACAGTGAAGCGGTAGCGGTAGTGTGAGGGAGTAGTGTTCAGAGCAGACCCTGGGGTCTGGCGGGGGACGTGGACGGTAGAAGAGGACAAAGGTCAAAGAGCGACAGAAGTAAGAACAGGTGTCTGGGACATGGTGAGCAGCAGCAGTCGTCGTCGTAAGGCCAGGCAAGGCAAGGGGAGTGAAAGGAACGGGCAGCCAAGGGACAAGAAGCACAAGCACCAGCACAAGCACAAGCACCAGCAGCACCAGGGGCGCGGCCTTACGTTGGCCCGGGTTTGGGATATCTTTTGAGGGCCCAAAACGAACCGGACAAGATTCTGCCCTGCATGTCACCACCTTCATGGCTATCTATCTATCTATCTATCTATCTATCTACCTTACCTGTCCGACGATGCTGAGGCGCTGCATCTCACCTGCATGTTTCCTCGTCCCATGTCGTCGCCATCTGATTGTGGCTGGCGGGCATATGCCAGCCACATCACCACCTGCTGTGCTGTGCTGCTGCCTCTTCCCTGCCTGCTCGCACACTCAATTCACCGCTCAGCTTGTCCAGGTCCTCCGCTGCTCTTCCGTCCGTCCCATCTCAGATCTGCATCATCATGGTCGACGTTTGTTCTAATTCTTG